GCTTGATGCTTTTGATAGCTTTACGCAGTTCCTTTATATATATCAGCGCTCCCACTCTGAAAAACTTAGCGGTATAGTGTATAACGCGAAATGTTTGTAAGTGAACGATTCCTCACTCTGTTTTGCTTACAAAATATGTGACCCCAATCTTCAGATATGCTCTTTTCGTCGCCATTATTATAAATTTATAAAACAATTTGATGTTTTGGCTTTTACTATCGACTATTTCATAGACAGCTACTTTTATTAGAAGATAATCAGATTCTATGATGCTGTCATTGCGAAAATATGACCGTTTAGAAATACTTCAGATTTCTTGAAAGCAATGATTACTCATTCGCCAGCTTTATACTAATTTTAGGTAAAGTGAAGCATTTCAGTAGAAAGAGAGTAAGCGTTCTCATTAGTACTTGTTATTTACGAAGCTACAGCTCAAATCTAAGAGCTACATGAAGTGGAATTACACTATATAAACAGTATTGTAAGGTTAATAAAATTAACAAATAAAAAGGAAATTTAGTTGTTCATAGATAGTTTATTTAAACATTAAGTATTTTGTTATAAGTTTCATTGCTTTTATTTCACCTCCAACTTTTATTTTTAAGATGGGCTTAAATAGCTTAGTTTCATGTATTTAGTTTCTAAGAAGAGCTAAGGCTCGATATTTGCCTATTATTTTATTAAAAAAACGTTTATTGTATTGATTAAATAATTAAAATATTATGGCTGATAATTTAAAGCTGAATCGGATTGTATTAAAAGCGCTGTTCACATAAAGTATCGCAATAAAATCATAAAACCGAATCGCTCAAGTTTTGCAAAAGTTTGGTCTTAAGCCTTTTGAGCTTTCTAAGTTAGCTATAATATTTCTTAAGGAATAGAGTTAATTATTACTTAAACTAATATGAATTTATCGCAATCCTTATAAAAAGTTTTTTAAAAACAATTGAGTTAACCAGGTTAAGTAGTTTTTAGTTTAAAATGTTCTGCTGCTACGAAAAAAAAAGTAATATATACTTCTTTTATTACTTTGCAGAATAGAGTACAAGCTTTTTATTAACTTTCTCTTTAGTTTTTAGTTCTTAACCAATTTTGTGTCAAAAAAAATTCGATCAGTGGCATTAAGTATTAATAGCGCTCAGGTTTAGGTGAGCTCTTCAGTTGAGAGAGATTCCATAATACTCTAATAAATTAATACGTGCTGATGCCGAACTTTTTTACTTCTTGATCACTTCTACTATTACAACCTTCTCTTCCTTTCCTTAATCTTTTGGAAAGGAATTAAAAGTTTTAGTAAAACTACAAAAGAAGGATTTAATGAAATGAATAAAATAACTACAACGAGGCACAAAAAAAACTAGTATTAGGCTGCATATCTTTATCTTTTTTTTTTTTAGCACTGGGCGGAATACGTTTGGTCTGCATGAGACCTTAAGCCGCTTAATCTTAATTCCCCTCTTCTGCAGGGGTTGGAGCACGAGGTGCTCACCAGTGTTCGCTCATTAGAAAGCTATAATGACTGTACCGAAGGGCTGAAAGTATCTGACCCGAGCTTCCGCCATGCTGCCTGTTTGTGGAAAACCGCTAAAAACAAACCACCTGGAGAGGAATCCTTGGCACAAGAAACATGGCGACCTGGAGACACCGGCCAACACCACTGCCAGCCAGGTCTCCCCACTGTGAGCTCCTCACCAAAAGGGAGGAGCCCTACTATCTTTTTTCATATGGAAGACACTATATATAATATTTTTATAAGACAAATTTTAAATAAAAATTATAAGTTTGTTTGTGTTCACCCTGAATTCAGAGCTTAACTAAGGGAGTTACCATAATCAAGTTCCATAGGGTTTCATGGTTAATTAGCCTCTAGTGTCAGCGAATGAGTTCAAGTATCCAAAATGATACTACCCAAAACTGGAGTATTTCAATATTTATCTATTTATTTTTTCAAAATTTCGTCAAGTATATTAATAAGTGAAAGGCGCCTATAAATACGATTAGTAGATTCTGAGTACAATTTCACAGCTTTTCAATGGATTTAATAAAACTACCTGAAACTAAAACAGTCTATGATAGTGTTCGTGATATTTCTTTTAGCTGTTAAAGAGCTTCAAGAAGAAATTTAATTTAATTATTTTTTAATCATGACATTGGTTAACGTAAACTGAAAAATGATATGAAAATATTAGACAAACAGGAATTATATGAAGAAAAGATGAAAAAAATCCATGATAAAGATGTCAACAAAGTGGAAAGACTAGTTGCAAAAAGATACTTTATTTCGATAATAATAAAGCTTTCTGATGAGAATTGGTGGGACAAGCTACTATTAAAAAAGTTTTTTAAGTAATGGATTATGTGAACTAAGTTTTATTAAAAGCTTTTTAAAAGTCAGCGAGATAAAATTAAAAAAAAATTATGTAGTGGATTTTGATGATAATAGACTGGTAGACTAACAAAATTTTTTTGGAGCTCAAGGCTAAACGGTTAAACCTAAGAAGTCTAATATTCTTGTCTCTTGTAATATTTTAAACAATTATCAGTTTCTAGAAGGCTTGCTCTGCAAGCTATCTATTAAATAATTTCAGCTGTTTTCAAGCTGTTAAGGGAAAGCACTCGGAAATTCTCGAGGGCAAATTATTATGTGTTTATACGGAATGGCTTTTGAGCACTAAGTTTTTTTCATTAATTTGTGGTTTTTGCTGTTCGATGTTGCGCGTGTAAGCCGCCTTCAAAATTTTCGAATAAATTATGTTTTTTAGTCTTAATTAACTTTATATTATTATTAAAACTTATAATAAACTTTGTAATATTAATATTAGGGGCTTAAGACATTTTAAACTTAACACTTTGAAAAAAAAAGAGCTTACATTATTTTATAAAAAAAAAAGGCCATATTCAGAACTGGTAAGTACTTTCTATTCGGAACAAACTATAAACTTTTTCGTTATAAACAAAAACTTATTAAAAAAAAAGTTAATTAACAAGACTTCAAGTTTTTTGAAGACGACACCCCCTCTTAATTATAGCAAATTTCGAACTTTAAGTGTCTATAAATTGCTTTTGATTATGTTAGTTGGCTTTTACTTTTTGCAAAGATTTTACGTCGCAGGCCGCCTTGAATACCACCAGAGTAATTATCTCAATTAGTTGGCAACAAACTTTTTAATAAAAATATAGTTCGGCTTGGTTTTTTTTTAGTACGCTATTTACAATGGAGCTGTAAAAGTCAGTATATATTCAAAAACTTTTACGTTCCTGGTAAGTTTCTTTTTGTCTTTTTTATTTATCTACAACTTGTAATAAAAAAAAAAGAATTAAACAGAAGCAGAGAAAGAAAGTATGGAAGCTACGAAAATTATTTAATTATTCAGTTTGCTTATTTAACTTTATATATATTTAAGTAAAAAATAAAGATTTATGTGGTTTAATTTAGTTATTTTTATTAATCAATGTAAAACTCTATTGTATTGTTAGTTCGTTAGATCTACGATTTTTTTAAGTTAACATTCTGTTTTTATAATAATTTTACTCAAATCTTAAATCTCTTGTTACAAAGAAATGCTAAACTTACGTTGTTTTTTAAGCCTTTAAGTAAATCTTGTGGATGACTATATTTCTTTGGTGACTAACTTTGTAAAACAAACTTATAACTAATTTTAATAGGAGTGCTTATTAGATGTGCATATTTCTATCGCCTCGCCATTTTTATGTAAATAAATAAAAAATTATCTCAAATGAAGTTGAAGAACAAAGTAAAGTGAAGTGTGACAGAAGTACTTCATAAATATAAATCAAATAAATATTAATTTTCAGCCAAAGACAAATTATCTACCTAGCAAAAAAAATTTAATCCATGGAAGTGTGTTGCAAGGAAGCACAATATATATAAGCTTTCGTATAACTCAGCTTGAAAAAACAGAAAGCATCAAACAATATAGGTATATTTAGATCTTTTTTAAAAATCACCACCTCTATTACTATGAATAAAAAAAAACAATCAGTATTATATAATTTTTAAACTTTTTTTGAATTTCTTTATAATATATTCTATATCAGAAACCCTTTAAATTACTATTTTTTATTTATTAAATAAAATAATAAAAAAAATATTAAATTTTGGACAAAAAAAGTTTTATATTGTTATATGTAGTTGAGAGTTGGCTACGCAGGCGGCCCAAGAGAAATTGAAATTATTATAGCTCTTAATTTTTAGTAACTCTATTATACTTCTTTGCAATATAATATAACTGTTACCCCCATTCTTGTATATAATACAAAACGATGAATCGATCACGAGTTTAGTAAAAGCTTTTTTCTTTAAATTTCTAAAAAAGGAAACGGATACCAAAGTAGTAAACGGGTTTTGATAAAAAAAAAACTTGGAATGGCAAGCTCGGTATTTTATTTTATTTATCTTTTTAAAGCCTTGTTAAAATTTTCTTTGATATATGAAATTTTATAATTTAATTATATAAATTAATATATAAAGTTGCCCCTTTTAACTAATATTGGTAAAGGGATAAATAAAAGTGTAAATTTCTTCTTTTATAGTAAATTTCATAAAAATATTTTTCAAAAATAGTTTTTTTAAGTTCCAATTTTTTTCAAGACTACTTTATACTTTATTAGAAAGTAATTTAAGTTTTATAATTCATTGCCCTTGTTGCAGCTTACTTTTAGCTTATATTTTTTAAAAAAAATTATTTAGAATTTTTTTATGTGGAAATTAATTCACTTTTTTTTTACTAATAATAATTTTATTAGGTAAATTACTACAATAAAGTAAGTAATTTTTAATTTTAATCAAACTTTATATTGAGTAACTTTACGAGCTATATATATATATAAAAAAGCTAGTGTTTTCCCCTTGCTATATTTTTTAATAAATATGGTGTATAGCGCTTTTTAATTTTATTAATTATATAATAATTGACATCATATATACGAAAGTTTTTAAATCTGCAATCTACTCAACCTGAGTTTAACTTTTTGCACGGTTTTCTCTCTTCCTTTTCTGTTATTCTTTTTAGCGAAATCGGTATTTTCATTTATTTTAACTTTTTTTAATTTTTATATTCTTTTTTTTCTGAAGGAGATAAAACTTTTTTTATAGCAGCCGTATTGGCTATGCGTAGTTCAAGGTGAGTTTTTTTTTTTTTTTTCTTTTCTTTATTATAATTTTTAGATTGCTGGTATTAATCGGTGCATGCGGTGCTCTTTTTGTAATGACGATGCTTTCCTCGTATGTCGGCTCGCTAACAGCAATAATCCCTAAAATATACACCTTCTCCTGTTCAACATTTTTACTTTTTTTTTTTGGTATAATAATAGATAAATATATAAATATAAGAATAGTTGATAAATTTTATTAATGATAATAGTAATAACAAATTTATATAAACTTAAAAAATAAAAATTATAATAATATTAAGTAAGTAAATAAGAAAAGTTGATGGAAAATAATGTTTATAATAAGAAAATAAAGAAATAATAAAAGTACATTAATAATTTAATTATAGTATTAAGTAAAGAATTAATAAAGGGATATTAAAAATTATAAATTTATAGTTATGAAAAAAAATATATGAAATATAATAAATTTAAATTCTAATAAGTAAAGAAATAAGAGAATTACTGGCTTATAATATTTATAATAATAAGTTAATTAAGATAACTAAATAATAACAATAAGTAAACATATAAAAAAGTTCGATTTTTTTGTGTGCATTTGCTTATTATATTTTTATTAAAAGTTGATGGAATACTACTAATAAGTAATTACGTAATAAAAGTTGATAAATAATAACATAATAAGTAAATATATATAAAAAGTTCAAATTCGATTTTTTTATACAATATTATGTGTTTTATTAAAAGCTAATGAAATAATAATAAGTAAATACGTAAGAAAGTGGAATTGATAGAATATAATAAAATCAGTAATAAAAGGTGGTAGATAATAACTGGATAATAATAATAATAAGTATATATATGTAAAGTTCGACTTCAATCTTTTTTTTTTAATATTGAACAGGAATAAAAATGTTATATGAAGGAATTAAGCTTCCTGTAGATTATGCGCTTGAAGAATACGAAGTAAAAAAACAGTTAAAAAAATCTAAATCTTTTTTTTTCGAGTTTTTCAATTATTTGCAAATTTTATATTTATCATTTTTTTGATGTTATTTTATTATTATTATTATCATAACATTAGTGTTTCTTATGATAATTATTATAAGTAATATTTTTTTTATTTATATTTTCGATGTCTTTTTTATAACTATTATTATTATTATTATTACAAAATATATTAAAGTTTATTCTCAACGCAATTGTTTATATATATTTTTATATATTTTGTTATTTATTATTATATTATTATAATTTTAAAATTTATTAAAGTGGTTTCTTATTATAATTCTTCGAAATAAATATTTTTTATACCTTTGAAAAGTAATTAGTTTTTTTTTTATATTTTTATATAAATTTACTTATTATATTTATCTTTGATATTCTTATGAAAGTGACATCTTGAAATATTTTTTTTATGATATAAATTTTTTTATTTATAAAACTATATTTATTTTTTTTTTTATTATATTTACTTTTTATATGCTTTTTTTAAATTTTAAAAACTTTTAATATTTTTACTTTTAATTTATTTTATTATAATAATAATTATATGAAAAGCGAGTTCAACAAGAGATTAATTCTACCGAGAAAATCGACGAAAACTCTTCAACTTTTACTAATTTTGATGTTGAAGAAGGAAAAAAGTAGTTTATTTATTATTATTATTATTTCTATTTACTATTTATATTTTTAATGTATTTCTTATATTATTTTTTATTTTTATATATTTACTATATAAAATTTTTATTATTAGTTTTTTTTCATTTATTATATTTATTTATTTTTATTACAAGCTTTTTTTATTTTTATTTTTTTTATTGTAATTTTTAATATTAATTATTATTTTATTATTTTTTAAAATATTTATTACTATTTATTTATTTTTCACTTTTTTATTTATATCATAAAAGTTTTATTATAAGTTTTATTATAAGTTCTCTTTATTGTTTTATTGTATTTTTCTATTATTTACAATTTTCAATTATTTTTTTTGTTAATTAATTTTATTTATTTTTCAAAAATTTAATTAGAATATTTATTATTTTTTTTTAATATTTCTGTTATGTTTATTTTTTTTTGGTTATTTTACTTACACAAAATTATTGTTATTTATTTATTTATAAAATTTTGATTAGTTTTATTAATTTTTAATTTTTTTGTTTATTATTATTTATTTTATATAAAAAAAGTTTGCGAGTTGTTTTACTTTTTTTTGCTTATGAAAAAAAATATTTTGCAGTTTTTTAGGAATTCGGAAAAATAAAAAAATCTTAATTCAATCGTTTGTGATGACTTTTCTGGCGGAGTGGGGCGACCGCTCGCAGATAGCAACTTTCCTATTGGCCGCGCGAGAGGCTAGACATTGCAATTTTTTTTAACGCTGATTATTATTTTTTCTTTTATTTAATTTTTATATATAAATTTAAAATTTGTGAAGATTTTTTATATTAATATTTTTATTATAAATTTTGGTTTATTATTTCATAATCGTTAAGAATTTTAAATTTATAATTTATAGTATTTTCTTATTGTATTGAAATTTGCTTAAAATTAAGGCGTTGCAATTTTTTTAAATTATAAAAATTAAAATTTTGAAATTTTATAATAATAAAATTTTATTATGTTTTTTCCAAATTTAGTTTTTATTTCAACGTTCAGCGTCGAGATTTTTATAATTTTAGACATTTTTTTTTTTTAAAAATTGAAATTAAAAATTACTTTAATGAATGCATTTCCTTTATTTTACGCTGATTATTCGGAAGATTTTCTGTTTTAAAATTTTGATATCTACATTATTTCTATTTTAATATTAAAGTCAGCTTTGAGAATTTTTTTTGAGCTGACGATTATATTTTTATAATTGTTTTAAATTTTTTTTTATTTATAAACTAAAATTTGCGAAGATTTCTTATATTTATATATTTATTATCTACAAAAAAAAAATTTATTTTAATTCAGCGTCGAGATTTTTGAAATCTTTTATCAATTTTTTTTTCAATACCATAAATATTTGTGAAGATTTCTTATTTTTACATTATTATAAAATTTGTTATAAATATAACCTAATCCTTAACCTTACCCTATAATTTATACTTTAATCATTTATTATTTAATATTTATTTATTATTATTAAATTTTTTGGTCATTATTTTTTAATATTGATATAAAAATTTTATTAATTATTTATTAATAATGCAGAACTTATTTTTATTATAATAAAATAAGTATTTTCATTTCACATGATTACTATATATATTTTATTTATTAATCATAATTATTTTATTATTACTTATTAAAAATATAAAACTTTTATCCTTTTTAGTTTATATTTATTATTAACTTCTTTGTATATATAAAATTTTTAATATGTTCTTCATTATTTAAAGCGGCGTAAAGTTTTTTTTTTTATCTCTTAATTATTTTTTCATTTTAAAATTTAGTTTTTTTGGGTTTCCATTTTCAAAGCGGTTGAAGAATTTTTAATTTTTTAATTTTTTAAAGCCAATTTTAGTTTAATTATTTTTTTATTTTAAGTTTTTCATGCGGCATGAAATATTCTAATATTTATTTTTATTATATACAACTTTTAGTTTTTTATTTTAGATTTAACGTAAAAGATTTTTAAACTTTATTAATATTTATTTATGTGCCGGTTTTTTTTAAGTAAAAAGAAATAAATTTAGTTTTATTACTTTTTTAACTTTTGGTATTTGGTGTGAAGATTTTTTTATTTAACTTTTTATTATAAACAAATTTTAGGTTTAAATATTGAATTTTTTAATATATAAATTTAAGTTTTTCAAAAAGCGTTAAAGTATTAATTATATAATATTTATCAATATAATTTTTCTTTATTTTGAATACAGCGAATTCTTTTTTGTAAATTTTTATTATATAAAAATTGTAGAGTTGTTTAGAAATCAGCTTAAATTTTTTATTTATACAAAATTTAGCCCATTTTTAAAATTTGCGTGATAAATTTTTGTTTCTATATAATATTTATAATAAACTTCTTTTAAAGCGGTTGTAGTGTTTTAATAAATTTCTAATTAGTTTTAATTATAAAAAAATTTTGAAAGTAGAAAAATAATAAACTTTTTATGTTTTATTGTATTTTTCATGGAAAAAGTAACATTTATATATAAAAACAATAAATTTTAATAAACGTTTTACTTAAATATAATAATTTAAGTTATGTGGTTTTTATAAATATTAAAAAAATTAATATTTTTTTTATTTTTTATTGTACTTGTTTACTTTAATTTTCTAATAAATTTAATTATTATTTTTTTTTTATAATTAATAAATAACTTTTTTTTTATTCTTATAATATTATTAATAAATATTAATAAATAAATATAAACTTTAAAAAAAAATTTGAAAACGCCTTATATCTTTTTTTTAAAAAAATTTATTAAGTCTGAAATATTTTTGACTATTTATATAATTTTTAGTCTATAATGGAAACCATAATTTATTACTCCAACGTTTATATAAATTATTTATTTACTAAATTTTAAGTATTTTATTAACCTTAATTTTTTTTAGTTCATTACTATTTATTATTGCTATTAATTATTATGATTATTTGATTGTATATTAGTATTTTTACTTTCATTATTATTATTATTATTATAAATTTCATTATCACTTTACGTTTATTATTATATATTATTAATATTAGTTTCAATAATTACTTTTAGTATGTTATTATAAACTTTTTTTATATTTACTTTTTATATGTATATGCTATTAATAATTTCGGATCTCATTTTTTCCTTAAATTGTTTTAGAACAAGAATTTTGTAATTATTGCTTTAATAAAAGTTTATATAATTATTTAGTTTAAAATTGAATTTAATTTTATAAATAATTTCGATTCTAAATTTTAATTTTTTTTTTGGCCGATCCGAATTTCTATAATTGTTTATTTTTTCATGGGGACCATATTTTTATTATCAAAAATGTATATAATATATAATTAACTTTAAATTACTTTTTTTAAAAAATTTTCGATTCTAATTTATTTTTGAATTTCTTTGGGATTCGGATTCTTGAATCCTGAAATTGAATTTAAATTTTTATTATTATTAGAGTTTATATAACTTTTTTAATAACATTAAGTTATTTATTTAATTATATTTTATATTAAAATTTTTAAGTAATTTTTTTTCTATTCAGGTTTTTTTCTTATTGAAAATTAATAATTATTTAGTTTAAAATTGAATCTCTAATTTTTTTTTTTAGTTCATTTAATTTTATAATTAACATTCAATCTTTTTTAAAATTTTTTCTTTATTTATTATTTTTTTTCGGTTCGCATATTATCATTTTGAATTTTAACTTACATTTTTTTATTATAATAAAGTTTATATAATTTTTTAATTATAATTAAAATAACTTTTTCCATTTTTATTAAAATTTATTTGAAATTCTTTTTATAATTATTTTTCCAATCAGAATTCGTATTTAATATGTATTTGAATTAATATTTTTTATTATAATAAAAAGTTTCTATAATTTATTTGATAAATATAAAACTTTTTTTTTATATTAATATCTATTTAAATATATATTCCTATAATAATATTGAATCTTATATATAAATATATATTTATATAGAATTCCTAATTTCAATTTATTTTTTTTTTAAATACGTTTATACAATTTTTTTAATAAACAAATTTTTTTTAAAAAATAATAACTTTTTTCAATTTATTTTTTTAATTAACTTCGAATCTAATTTCTATTTTTCATTTTTTTTTTTTTCATTTTAGAATTCTTCCGCCGTTATACTGGGAGGGTTTTTAGGGCACAGCATATGCACATTCAGCGCTGTTATTGGTGGACGCCTTCTTGCTCGTCGAATATCAGCGCGATCAGGTGAAGTTTGTAAAGTGGTTTTAAGGAGATGCGTTAATACCTTTAATAGCTTTTTTTAGATTTTTTTTATAATATTTATATTATTATAAAATTGTGTTTAAAATTTTTTGAAGTTAAAATTTTATTATAAGAAATTGTAAAGTTTTTATAACGGTTTGTGTTAATAATTTACAAAAAATTTTAAAATATATTTAAGTATTTCGATTATTATGAAATCGTGTTTAATATTTATTAATAGATTTGAAAATTTTATAAATTATTTAATAAATATTAATGAGATTTGTATTTTGAAGTATTTACAACTTAATGAGATGAAATTTATAGCAAATCTTAAAATTTATATAATGTATTTTGATTATTATTAAGTTGTTAGAAATTTATTTATTTATTTTGAAATATTAAATACAATTATGAAGTTTTAGAAAAATTAAAAAAAATAATTTATAATTTACTTTTATTTAATTTTTTTAATTGAAGTTAATAATTATGTAAATATTTATAGTTAATATTAATAAATTATTTTTATAATAAAAAATTTTTTTTTAGTAGATTTTTAATTAAAATTATTTTTAAAAAAATTTATGAAGAATTCATAAATGAATGAGTTTATAATTTATGCAAATAATAATTTTGTTATTAGAATGCGTTTATATTTTTATATGTACTACAAATTTTCTAAATGATTTTATAAAGTTTTAGAAAAATTATAATAAATTTTAGAAATTTTAAATATAAATATTTAATAAATTACAAAGTTTGTGTATTTTGTATGGAGTTGGAATTTTAACAAAATATTAAAGCAATATAAATATATTAATTTAATAATAATAATAAACCTTAAATTATTTTCTGTAGACTTTTAAATAAATTTTTATGGATTAATGGTGACAAAAATTTATAAAAACTTTAAAAATTTATTCAAAATAACTGAAATGTGTTAAAAATTTATTAATGGATTTGGAAATATTAAAAATGGTTTAATAAAGTTTCAGACAATTTTGAAAATAATTAATCTATAAATTCTTAAACTTATAAATTATGGAATGAAGTTAAAAATTTTAATAATATATTATAGCAGTATTAATTAATTACTTTGATATTGAAGTTTAAAATTTTTATTAGTAGATTTTGATTTCAAAATCTACTAATAAAATTTTATGGTGAAGAATTTTTAAACGTTTTAAAAATTATAATAAAATTTACAAATTTTATAAAATAATTAAAATAATATTATTGAAGTTTTTTTTATTTATAAATTCTTATTAAAAAAGTTTATACATAATTTTATGTTGCTTGTTATAAATAAATCTATAATAAATAATTTTTTTGAACTTTTATTATTAGAAAGTTCTCTTTTATGAATAAATCAATTTTTTGCATATTATTTTTAATAAATTAATTTTTTTATAATAAATCTTTACTTGAAGATTTTTATACGTAATAAAGCTTTTTTTTTTTTTTAACGTTAGAATTCTCAAATATTTTATAAAAAAAGTTTTTACGTTTTTATTTTCAATCATAATTTTCTATTAGATAAAGTTTTAAATTATGATTTATTATTTATAAGTTTTTCTGTTATCAATAAATCTTTGTAATATTTTTATCAGAATAAGTTTTTGTTATAATCTATTTTATTTTTTTTATAACTATTTTGATGATTGTCTTATATAAATATTATATATTATTAGAAAGAGATTTATTATAAATAATTCTATTTCCTATTTTTTTATATAACGTTTGCTATAGAAATAAATCTACTAGTAATATTCTTCAAAAAACTTTTTAGAAAATACATTTATTAAAATATTTATTTTATAAAAATAAATCTATATATAAAATTCTGATTTTTCTTAAAGCATATATTGTCGTTCCATTTTTCTTTTCTTTTTTTTTAACTATAACAAAAGTACATATAATAGGAGGAATTGTATTCCTCTTCTTTGCCGGAACTTCACTTCTACTGGAAATAAAAACTTTTTAAAAGCATTTTATCTGCGAACAATCAAAAAAGGTTCGGCGTTATTGTATTGATAAAACATATCGAAAGATCACGTGGGGAGCGAGAAGGTAAAAAACCCCAAACAACGCACGTGGGATGTGCGCTCTGAAGAGAGTTATGCTTAAAACTGACTCATTTATAGTAAATTTTTTGGCGCCATTTTTCTTTTTAAGATTAATTTTTCTTGGCCACAACGGTTCATTGTTTTTTTGATGGCGCTGTTGTTGGGGTTGAAGTTGGAAGTCGTTCCTAATGTAAATTTAAGTAGTATTATTATAAAATATTTTAAAGAGACTTTTTTAATAGAAGAAATGTTTTTATAAAGTATTTATAAAATAAACAAGTATAAAAAAGTTTTACTAAATTTTTATAAGCATTTTTTTATTACTCATTCGGCGTGAAAAAAAAAGTTGATTTAATAATTCGAATAAAGTTTTACATAAGTATACAGAAATTATTATAATTCAAAAAATATATAAAAAGGTAAAAAATTATTCTAATAAAATTTTTTTATAATGGTTTCTTAAAATAATTGTTAATATTTTTAATAATAAAGTTTTTATAAATTTTTTTTCTATATGTGACTCGATTTAAAAAATATTCCATAAATGTTTTTATATATAAAAATTGTTTAAATTTTTATAATAAAGTTTTTTATAAATAAATATTTTTTAATATAAATTGTTCGATGAAATTTTTATTTAAATAATAAATTTTAAATAAAAATTTTTATAATTTTAGTAGTAAAGTTTTTATAAATTTTTTTAAGAAATTGGATTCAATTTGAATTACGTAATATTTGTTAAAATTTTATTAATAAAGTTTACACAAATATTTTTTAAAAAATTATTCGATTTCAAAATATTTTATAAAAGTTAATATTATAAAAATTATAATTATAGAGTTTATAAATAATTATTCGATTTATAATGTTTTATAGAAGTTAACGGTTTAAAAAATAGTTAAAGTATCAATAAAAAAAAGTTTAATTAATTTTATTATTAAAAATAGTTAATATCTTAATTATATAAAGTTTTTATGAATAAATATTTCTTAAAAAATAACTCTATAAAAAGTATTTAATAAAAGTTTTTTTAAAAATAATGATTTGTAAAAATTTTATTAATTCAGTTTTCGGAATTTATAATTTTTAAATAATTCGATAAAAAATATTTTATAAAAGTTTTTTTTCTTTAATAAATAAAAATTGTTAACATTTTAATAAAGTTTTTTACTAATAAATAATTTTTTTGGATAAATGATTCAGTAAAAAATATTTTATATTATTTATTGTTAAAATTTATAATTTTTTATAAACCATTTAGTAAAAATTTTATTCAAAAATGATATAATAAAACATTTATACCATTTTTCTTAAAAAAATAATTTATTTTTAAATCTTCTCATATCAATAAAATATAAAAAATCTTTGGAAAGTTCCAATTTTCTTAGTAAAAAAATAAATGATAATAATAATTATTTTTATTAAGCAGATATAATTAATAAAAATTTTATAAATTATAGCGGACTTTTTTTTTTCATGTTAATAGATAACTTTTTAGTTTATATATATAATAATAATTATTAAATAAATTCGGTTTAAAATTTGTATAAAAAAATTGTATTATCAAAATATTACTTTAGTTTTAAATTTTAAAGGAAAATATAAAAAAAAAATTATAAAATTGATTTTTCAGAAACCAATAAACTTTTCTTTAAGCAAATAAAAATTTTTGCAAGAGTACATAAAAAGTTATACATTTAAGATAAAAATTAAAAATTGATTATAGAAAAATTATTTATATTAAAAATAATAATAAGCAGAAGTAAAAGTTTTAAAAAATTTCTATGATATATAATGGTTAATAAATTTTAAGTATAATCATAAAATAAATTTTCTTGGTAAACTATCAATGTATAAATTATATAATATTTTTATTTAAACGTAATAAAAAGTTCAAAAATACTAAATAGTTAAATTTAAAACAAGCGCTTTAAGATTTAATATTTACTAGTATTTATAATAATAGATAAACTAAAACAATATTAATTATAAAATTTATTTAAAAATATATTAATAATTTTTATACACTTAAAAAAAGACCAAAAACTTATAAAAAAAGTACATAAAGTTTTACGTTTCTTTAAAAAAAATAATAAAAAGCAAAATATAAATTTATAATATTGAAATAAATAACATTTTAAAAAGTTAAATTACAAAAAAAATAATTAAATGGAAAAATTTTATTAATAATAAGGAAAAGGAAAATTAGAAAAATAAAAGAAAACTTGTTTGAAAAAATTTTTTTTTCTTCAGAAACTTAACACTAGAAAGAATTAATAATAAATAATAATTTAAATTAATAACAACTCGAAGTTTAAAAACTTTAGAAATAAAAATAGCAGAAGATTAATAGAATAATTTTAACAGAACTAAGTATTTTTATTGGTCAGAAAAAATAAAGAAATGGTAAAAACAAAAAGGAACAAACAGTTTTTATTGGTTAGAAAAATTAAAAATTAAACTAAAATATTGATATAAAATCAATTAAATTAAAAAACGTTTTTATTGATCAAAGAAATATTAAATTCATATATAAAATTTAGCAATTATAATGTCTGTACAAATTAGGAAAATCGTAAAAGCAATATTATAATCCAGAGTTTTTATTAGTCAAGAAAAAAATTTTAAATCATTTATGCGCAGTTTTTATTAATCAAATGATTATATTAAAACACTATAAAAATAAATAAATAAACAAAAGTATTTACTCAACAAAAAAATATTCAATAGAAACTGAGCGGTTTTTATTGGTCAAAAAAATTTAAAAAGAAATTCAAATTTATTATTAGCCAAGAAAAAATTAAAAACTGATAAAACTAAGCAGTTTTTATTGGTTAGAAAAAGTTGATATAATGAATAAAAACAAGAATAATGGAAACGAATTTTTTTCATTGGCTGGAAAAAATAAATAAATACAGAATTTTATTAAATGTTGAAGCCAAAATGAAATCTAGAAATACAAAGTCAATTATAACTAAACAATTCTATTAAAATATTCTAATAAAATTTAGATGCTAAACAAGCGTTTTTCAACCATTTAAAAATACACAAAATACAGCGTGAAAAAAAATTTGAGAGTGCTAACTGAGATATTCATCACTAATAAGTAAAGAAATAAAATAAAACTGAATAATAAATAAATATGGAAAATTTAGGCACTACGAGCTATTTTCTACCAGAAAGCCGTAAAAAAACCAAAATTGTTAATATCAATACTAACAGAAGCTTTTCTACACCAATAAAAATAGGCCAAATTTTTAATAAATAATCATTTTTTCTACTAAATTGCAGAAAGATATTGTAACTAATTTCTAATTATAATTATGAAATAAAAATTATATATAATATTTAATATATACCCAATAAACATAAATATTATTAAACTAAAAATATATAGAAAAGTTTAAACCGAATTATATTAATAATATTAATCAATTCCTTTAAATCACAAAAAAAAATTAAAGTCACCAAGTAGGCGTCAATCTTTACCAATCAGGAATGAGAGCACAAAAGTACTACAGTAACTAATTCAATACTATTACTTTTTTTATTTTTTCTATTATATTTCGTTCAACGAATAACAAATAAGAAATACTAGATATTAATGTAAAAATTAATAACGACACATGAAAGCATTAAAGTAAATTTTCACATAAAAAAAATTGAAGTATCGAAATTTTTTGATATGCTAAAAGAAGTTATTTTAGGCGCCATTATTTTAAGCAATGAATTATAAAAAATAAAAAATCAAAATGACCAATTAGTATGCTTTAAAGCTTTTTGTAAACGTTTATAGTAATAATAATAACTTTAATGAATATATAATAAAACTTTATTGTCTTATTTCTTTACTAACTTTTATTATATAATAAAATTTTATTGGAGTTAAATTTATTATTAATATAACTAAAACTTTTTATATTTTACAATATTTTTAAAACTTTTATTATTAAACATTTATTAATATTCAGACTTTAATAATAATAAATAATACGGCGAAGTTATCAAATCTTCCACGTCCTTCAGTTCGGTAACGAGTTGCCCGCAAGCGCCGGAAATATCAACGCCCATCTCCTTGCGAAGAGTCACCTTTCCATCAATAATACAATTTTTTATTAATAGTTTTTATAATTTATTAGTTCAATAGTTTATTTATTATCCGTTTCATTAACTTGGAAATTTTTTTTTTTACTTTTAAACTTTAAAGGATTTTTATTATTTATTTTTTCATTAATTTATTCTCCATTTCATTAGTTTATAATAAAGTTATTTTCTTTCCTTTTCTACTCTAAAGGATTTCTATTATTTACTAGTTTATTGGTTATTTATTCTCCATTTCTTTGGCTTATACATTTATTTTTGTACTTTTAACCTATAAAAATTTTTTATTATTTAGTTCTCCATTTCAATGCTGATAATAAAATTATTTTCTTTTCTTCTATACTCTATAAATCTATTATTATTTATTAGTTCATTAATTAATTATTCTCCACTCCATTAGCTTATAATATATTTATATGCCTTACTTTTTTTACTTTGAAAAGTTATTTTATACAGTTCGTAGGTTTTATAATCGACTTTATTTCTTTGTTCTAAATATTTATTGTTTAATTGTTCTCGTACTTAAATTTCATTCAAAACTAATGATTTTTATTACTTTAATTGTTTATCGATATATTTTTTCTAATGTAAAATTATTTCATAATTTTCATATTTAAAATTATAATAGATTTTTTATTAATTACATATAATTATTAAAATTTTCTTGTTCTTCGTATTATCGGCAAATCTAGATTGTTAATTACTCATAAAAAAACTATTTATTAACTGCTTCTTTATTATTTATTGAATTGCATAATAAAGTTTGTTTCTAATCAAATGATTAGTTATATTTATTTAATGTGACAGTTAATTCTGATTGCACGATTAGTCAATAATTTATATAAAAAATTGCATAATTTATATTTATTATCTAAATTAATAAATATTTATATATAAATTTTGGTTTTATGGATTCTTATATTATTAATTTCCTTATCTATAAAATTGTTAAAAAATTTTAATTTCATTTGCTTACTATTCTTCAGATGATAGTCAATTATTTTGCAGTAAAGATAAGTATAATTTTTTTTGTTATCAATTTTTATATCAGTCATTAATTAATTGTTTTATACGTGAGTTCATTGGTCGATTTCTTATTGTTTTATAAATTTTATTTATTTATTTATAGGCAAAAATAGAATTTTTAAAATAATAATAATTAAATAATCATATTAATATTAATAATCAAGTAAACCAAAACTCCATAACTTTTCACGACTTTTACAAACTTCTGTGTAGAGCTGAAAGAAGGTGAATGAAACTTTCGAGCAACGGAGGTAGAATTATAAGGAATACAGTTTAACTATTTATATAAATAATAATAAAAAATTTATATTAAAAGAAATCAAGTAAAAATACTGTAACGTTGGAAGAGCGCAGGCGCAGAAGTTGCCCCAATTGGTGAGCGTGTTCTTCACTATCGTTGATTCCTTTAAATAACGTTAATAATTATAGCATAATAATTTTATTAATAGTATAAACTGACACTAAAGATATGAAACCCCCACCCCCCAGAAACAAATAAAAAGAAGGTAATTTTTTTATGTTATAAAAACATATACTAATCTGGCCTTATAACAAAAATTGGATGAAGAATGCACAGATTAGTATTAAAACTGCCTGATTAATAAAACGAGTTTTAATTGGTTAATTATTTTTATAAAAAAAGGAGCAAATAGAATTAAAACTAATTTTATATTTATTATTATTATTAAAATAAAACAAACTTTAAAAGAAACACTAAAAAAAAAAGTAAAATGCTATTAAAAATAAAAAATTGAATTATTATTATTATATACTTTAGTAAAAAATAAAAATCTTCTTTCACTAAAACAATAAAAATATTCTATTATTAAATCGTGCAAAGAATTAAAATAATTGGTAGAATTCAGAGTCGCAGCTTAAATATATATTTTGGTGCCTCTTAGCTAAAGTCGTTCGAATAATAATTTGGGTAATTTAAAAACAAATAAACAGGCGCTATAATTGCATTATCGGCAACAATTAAAAACTGTTTTAGCGGCTTTTTTCAAATCCAAATAAAAGTACTGAAGAAGGCAAATAAAGTTTATTTGTTAGTATTTATTAATAAATTTGTAATGTAATTTTAAGTTATTCATTGTTATAAATATTTTTATTTTTATTGTTATTATTATTGCTATTATTACTATTACTACTATATTATTACTATTATTATATTCTTAAACCTTTCAAAAAAACATATTCAATAAATATTCTTCTTCTGGTTTTTCTTATGTATTCGTCAATGGCCTCCATCAACATATTTATGGGCCAAACCTTAATTATAATGATAATAATAATACTGATAATAATAATAATAATAATAATAATAATAATAATAATAATAATAATAATAATAATAATAATAATAATAATAATAATAATAAAATATACTTTAGCCGCAGGAACAATGGAGGCTCGAAGCGATTGGTTGGGAGCGTGCAAAGATACCGCCAGATGAACCAACGGAAGATCGTTTATAAAAGTGTAGATTTTTGGGACGATGCCGACCTTCTCAAGTATTATTATTATTTATTATGTTTAATTTTACTTATATTTATTTATTATAGTTAAATTTGTCTCTTTAAATATTATTCCTACTATATATATATCGTTACTACTATTATTATTTACCGTTGAAACAGTGATGTGCTTCGGGGCGATGCTAAAAAGCGACGGATGGCTAATTATTAGTATAGACTTTCGTACTTCCTCATAATTATTAAACGGTTCTCCTTTATAATATATAAAAATACAAAAAAGGAAAGTTAATAGTGTTCGTTACAATTATAATAAATAATAATAAAACTGAATAATTAAAAAATAATATTTAGAAAAGTTAAAAAACTTTTTAGAGTACTTGAAAATGTTAATAATAAATATAATAATAGTAATAAAAATTAAATACTTTTTATGTATTTCTTTATAAAAATCTTAATAGTAATTATTATTTAAAAATATAATTATATAAAAAATAAACTTTTTATAATAAATATTTTTATAATAATAAAAATATATAGTAATAATAGATATTAAAAAAACAGCATTAATTAAAGTAAATAATAATAATAACTGTTATATAAAAAATTTATATAAAGATGTATTAAGAAAAAAATTATTTTAAATTATTAATATATAACTGTATATTATTTTTTATTATAATAAAAATAAAAGCAAATTATACAAAGAGATAAAAAAGAATTTTTATTATAAACTTATTTTTTCCATTATTATTAATTTATATATTATATTAATATTTTTTGTTAAAAAATCTTTACTTTTTTACTTATTATTATTACTAAAGAAACTTTTTATTATAGATTATTTTTTTCATTATTATTATTATATATTATTATATTATTATTTTTTAACAAAAAAAACTTTTCTTGTTTCACTTATTATTATTATTTTAAAAATGAAATTTTATTATATTTTCAATTGTTATTTAATATAATATATTATTATTTTTAAGAAAATTTTTCTTGTTTTACTTATCATCATTATTTTATTTATTATATTAAATGAAAAACTTATTATTATTTTAAAAAAAAGCATTTTCTCGTTTTACTTTTTATTATTAAAAAACTTTTATTATATACTTATTATTTCGTTATTATTATTTTCTGTAGAATTATGTTAAAAATAAAAACTAATTATTATTTTTAAACAAATTCCAACTTTTCTTGTTTTCCTTTTTATTATTATTAAAAAATTTCTATAATTTATTTATTTAAACTTTTCTTATACTATCATTTTAATAAAAAAAAAATAAACTCTTTTTATTATTTATTCAAAAAAGGAAATGATTTATTACAAATTTATTATTTCATATTTTTTTATTATATTATTATTAATATAAATAATAAACTTTTTATTGATATTTTTTATTTAAAAAAAAAGGAAATCATTTTATTATTAATCCATTTTATTTAGTTTTTTTTTCTTATTTTATTTATTATTATTAAAAAAATTATTATAAAGATTTTTTCTGTTTTTCTTATTTTGTTATTACAAAATATAATAAACCTTTTTATTTACGTTAATTATTATTATTAAAAAAAATATTTTATATATTTATTTTATTCAGTTTTTCTTATTTTAATTTTTTATATAAAAAAAAACTTTTAAAAATATTTTTGTATTCATAACTTTTATTAGTATAAAAAAACTTTTTAGTATTAATATTATAAAAATATATTAAAAGTTGCTTTTATTCATGTTATTAATTATATATTTTATTATTATTATTATTATAAAAAATATATTTATAAGTTGCTTTTATTATTAGTATTTATACTCTATTAATACTATTATTATAAAAATATATATATAAACAAGTTGCTTTCATTATTATTATTTATTGACTTCTTCTCTTGTTTTTAATGCATTGTTTATTATTATTTCTTAAACTTTATATTTTTTTTGTAGTATAAAATTTTTCTTCACGACTTTTAATACTATTAAAACTTTATTATTATTATTTATACTTTCTTCATTGTTATTATTATTTTTAAACTTTTCTATTTATTTATGTTATATGAAATACATTTTATTTACTTTTTATTATTGTTGTTAACGTTTTTAATATTATTATTATAAAAGTTGCCTAATCCCATGAAAACTACATTTCTTATTTCGCTAAACTTTCTTGCATGAAGCAATTGTTCCACTATTTCACCGCATAATAAGTTTCCGATTTCTCCCATCGTGCCTTATGATAAATATTATAATATATAATTGTAATAATAATAATAACATAAAAAGATAATATTAATAATATAAATAATATAAATATAATAAAAATAAATTAATATAATGAATATAATAATATAAATATAATAATAATATTAATAAATAGATAAATATAATTTTAATAAATAACTATTAGTAATAATAAATATAATAATAATAAACCTGTTGCACAAAAAGAGCAGCCCATTTTACATCCAATTTGTGAGGAAACACAAACTGTAGTTCTTTTTTCTCCGGCGCTGTGACGAATAATTACCGTCTAAATAATAATAATAATTAGAAATAATAAAAATAAATATGAAAAAGAAGTTTATAAAAATACAAGAAAATAAAAGGAAATGTTAAAAGAATTGAAATTTCATAATAATAAATAAAATTATAAAAAATTAAAATAGTAAGCTTTGGTTTGCCTCAATTTTATAGCCGTCTTGTAGCTGAATTAATAGTTTAGTGGTCGAACCGTCGATGGAACTAAAATAATGATTATAATAATAGTAATAATAACAATAGGAACATAAATATGGAAAAAAAGTTTTTCAGTCAATAGCCATTAACTAATAATAATAACCTGATTGCTCCTTAAAACAACTAAATACTCAAGATGGCAAAATTGATAGTTTTTATTAAAAATTAAAAAGCAAAGACGTCATAAATATGGTGGAAAATAGAGTAAATCAGTGCAATTATTTCAAAAGGACCAAATTAGTTTATTTCTCTTGCAATGTATAGCAATGATAGTTAAGTCACTAAAAAGCACCAAAGTAAAAAATTGGTTTTATTTATGTTTAATTTGGTAGGGTTCTAATTTTAAAAATTATCAAAATTGGTATATTAATGTTATGTATACATTAAGCCCCGCTTTGCCACTCCTTAGGTAAGTCTACAAGGCAACGGGCTTAACATATAAAGCAAATACGCTCATTAATTGATATTATAATAATATATAATGGGATCAACTCAAGTTACTGTACAAAATGTAAGAGTATAAATTACTTTTTAACATCAACGACTTTGCTCGTTAGAAGGTCAAACTTTTCTTGAATGGATTTTATAGCATACAAAGGAAAGCTTGAAAGTTCTTTTAAACGAGATAAATCATAAATTTCCGGAGTTTGCAGGAGATATTTGAGAAGTGAGATTGAATGAAGATTAACATTTCTATAAAGTTTAAAAATAAAAAAAAAATTATTTTTTATATGGTAACAATTAACATATTTATGTTTAAGAAAAAGTGAATTTTAGTAAATTGCTTAAGTTTATAATATAATTCTTTATTAATTTTATTAAGTTTATCTATACCTCACCCCTAAATCCTCTAAGAAATCGTTTAACGTAAACAAATCTATAATTGAGAGGGGACAAAGTTTTCGAAAATGTTTCGGCATTCTAAATTATACTACTTATAAAAAACTTTTTATTAATAATTAATTAATTAAAAGGTTACATAAGAGAATCAATAATATTATAAAAATCTTTTCATAAAATATTTAAAATTATTAAAAACTATAATTTTCAAGACAGAAAATATAATTAGTTAATTTATTTTGTAATACAACAAAAATATATAACCAAATTTATAAAAGTAACTTTTCAATAAGTATTGCTTTTTTTTAAACGGCTCTCGAACATTTTATTAAAAGTAAAGTAAGATTAAAAAGGTAGTGCAACTAAAATTTAATATAATCAACTGTATTGAAATAATATTAGATTATAAAAGTAAAGGAGCCGTAAAAAAATCGTATTTAAACCAATAAAAAGTACAAAAATACATTAAGCAGATCATATATTTAAACATGTAAACTTAAAAATACTTAAAAATTATTAAAAATGTTTAAAGCATTAAAAATTTTTTTGAAAAGTATAAAATAAAAATATGGGGATAATGCTTTCTTACATATAAAGTTTAGTCAAAAATCGCTGGTTACTGTGTTTAATTACTTTGCATACAATATAAATTAGAAACTAACATAAATAAATTTCTTTAATATGAAAAAACCAGCATATTCTGCTATAAAAGACTTATAGTGAATTAGTCAAAAGTAGAATAATTTAAAAAAAAAAAAATTAATATAAAGTTTATAAGCCTAGCAGATGGAATGGCACAATCCAAATAGATAGGTTTTTTAATAAAAAAAATAATGTACACATCTACTATTAAATTTACTCAGAAATATTCCTGGCCCCCATTTCAAGTAGCCCTAAGCACGTGCAAACTTGCCAAGTACAATTGTTTATGTTAGTATAGTTATTAATAATTCATTAATAACATATTTATTACGTTAACGTATATTCTACTACGCCTAAAAAACAGCCGAAAGGATCAACTGCTATTCTTTTTTTTTTAAAAAAAAATTCTTTAAACTTTTTATATAATCGTAAGCCTGTTAACTTTATTAGTTCTCATTATAAAGCAGTGGACTTTTTTTTTCATTTAATTTTTTCTATGTTTCTTTTATTATTAAAAACCTTCAATTGCACTACAACGTTAATAAAAATTCTTTTCAAACCTTGTAACTTCGTTCAAAAAGTTATAAATGTATAAATATTGAAATAAGAAACTGACGGTGGTTTTATAGGGCATTACCAACTGGGGAGCGATTATTTTTTTAAAATGTAGGCATGGCAGAGTTTTAGGGGGTTTTAATTTTTTTTGCTCTTGCGTTGTTACTCGCTTGTGGCATAGTTCACACTTGTCATTTCGTGACTTTTTTATAATAGACTTTTTATCTTGTTGCTACTTACAGTTACAATATATATTGAGAGCATTGTTCATGTCGGGTAAAAACGTTTCTCCTGCCGTTTCATCGGTAGGCAAAAATCAGATAGCTGCTATCGTTTCCATGCATATTCCCGCAAACAAAGCGGCACCCGCACCACCTTTAGGTACTCATTTTTAGAAGCTCTTTTGAAACTTATTGTTACACCATCCTCAAATTTTTTAATGAAAAATGCAAGAAATTATCATTAAAAGAGTTATACCTTCTTTAGTTTTTAAAGATTTTTTAAAGAAATCACTTTACATAATTTACGTTACTTATTAAAATTTTAATTCTTCGAAAAATGGATGTTAACTAACTTAAAAGATTTCTTTATTCTTAATTTTATAACTTATATATAACTATTATCAATCAGTTATAACTTAAAAGGTCCAGCGCTCGGGCAACGGGGCGTTAATATAATGAAGTTTTGCAAAGAATTCAACGAAAGAACTAAAGATATAAAACCTGGAATTCCTATTCCCACTATTATTAATATTTATGGTGTTTTTTTCAGGCATAGATGTACTTTTTGTAGCATTTGTTACTCTTATTTTTGTCTGTAGGTGATAAAAACTTTCAGTTTACTACTAAAAAACCACCGTTTTCTTATTTTTTTAAGGAAGCTCTTGGAACAAACAAATTAGCTTCTTGTCCTAATAGAGAAGTTGTTGGTAATTTTTTGCTTGGCAGTTACCGTTTTTCGTTGTTTACACTATTTAGAAGCCTCTCACTATTCGCTAACTTGCTTCACTATTTTTAGGGAAGCTTTCTCTAAAACATATTTATGAAATAGCCAAAGTAAAGCATGATTGTGAAAGCGTTAGGCACGTCCCTTTTATTTCTTTTTGCAAATCTGTGATTTTTAACGCTCGACTTTGTGGCATTGAAGTCGTGAAAGAAATTTAAAAAATAAATAAATTTATTGGCCTGATCTTCATTTTCTAAACTTTGTTTGGTTTAATATGTAATTTTCCTTATAACTTAATTTTACAGTACTTTACAATTTATATACAGATATATCATTTATTTTCTAATAAGCTTTTACTTTACACGTTAAGATTATTGTTAAATTACTGAATAGCGGATGTCTTTTCTATTTATAGTGTACATGCATTAGGCGAAAGTTTTTATAAGCGAGTACATTTTTTTATGAAATTATAATTAAAAATTATTTTATTGTTTTTTGTTGCTTGCTTTTCCGTTTATTCTTTATTTTATTAGGAAAAAGTGTAATATTAAAAATTTAATAAAAAATAAGTAGCCGAAAAGGAGAACACTGAACTAAGAAAAATTTGTTAAATCTAAAGCTAAAAAGCTTCGCATTATTACAATAAAAAGTTATGTTTCTCTGCTAATTTTTTATAATAGGAATGTTAACTTTAAGCGGGCCACTTAATATTCTAAATTCTTAACTCGTTAAGCTAGCAAGACTTTTTAGGATACTCAATTTAAATAAGCACCTTTTTTTATTAATAAAACTTAATGGCAAGTTTAACTTAATTACTTGAAAATTTATTTTTGCAAAAGGCAAAAAAAAGAAAAAGAAATTAGACTTATAGTACTACAAACTTTTATAAATATGAATGTTAAAGGCATATTTATAAAAATCTCTAAATTTTTCAACTTTTTGAAGAAAAGTAAAATTTTATGAAAAATATCCACTGGTACTAGTGTAATCGCGATTTAGATTTTTATTTATGCCTTTAATTTTTTTTTACTACTTTTTTACTTTTTTTTTATTGCCTGGACATTCTAAGAACTTTGCTGGCAAGGCTGTTGAAAGCATTCGACTGTTTACTATAATCCTTTTCTTGTGGCAGACAATTTTAAGGCGAACAACCAAAACAAGCTGTAATATCTATAAACTCTCACTGTTACGTGAACAAGGACTAAAATGAATAAAACTTGTAAATTTTTAAGTGAAAAGAAAAAGTTTTTTAATGTTTGCTGTCGATGTGAACTTATTTTAACTCTAGACTTTTTTAAAAATAATATTCTATTTAAAATGATTTCTCCTAATTTCTCACTTTTATTTTGATTTCGTAAGTTTGCCATAACTTTTCTAAATGCCCTTAACAAGAACAACAGAATATAGAATGCAAACTTTACAACTAAATATAAACCTACTAATACCTGTTTATAACCTACAATACTCGATAAATTTCATGAGATGCAATTATCGTCTAGTGGTTAAAATAGTTATCATTTTATCCCTATCGGGGTTAAGGCGAGTGTGTTGAACTCATTACAATACGTTAATATCTACTTTAATCTTTGAAATTGCTTATTATATTCGTAAATTAACATTTATACATATTATTTGCAATTATATTGTGTTCTGCTGAACTCAAAGTTTTAAGATATAGTTTTTACATTCAAAATGGATAACAGTAAACAGTTGCCGTAAACGTCTTCGATATTAGTAAATCAAGTTTTTTTCAAGTTTTTCAAGGTTTTCTTACAGCTGGCAAAAATCAGGTTGTTAGTTTTTATTTTAAACATATGGAAAATCCGTCTGTCACACGTTCACTTTATCTGAAATTCAGGTTACATCCTCGCAAGAATAAACCGTTCACCCAGCTTGGCTTTAAGTCCCTCACGCAAGCTGGCACTCTTCATCTCTCAAGTCCTTTTTTAACGACGGGGATTGGCCTTTGGTGTGTCTTCTTCTGCCAACTCGTAGCGAGGGCTTCACAGGATTCTCTACTCTTTTCGCTGTTATTCAAAGTGACGTGTGTCCTTTTAGTCAACGTTTATACACGGTTCGTAACAAAATTCACTTAACAGGTTATATATGATACACAGGTAAAAAAAAAAAATTAAACAAAAAACAAATTAATTCCAAAATATTTTATATAACGTAAAGCTTAGCACCCGCAACACCTTAAAAAAATTATTTTAAATAAATTTCTAAAAAGGGGTTTAGTTTTTTACTTATAATAACTTGGTTTAAAAAAATAAATTAAAAGCAGAACACACTCATCTTTAAGATTAATTGGATCGCGTTAGCTTTTCAAAGGGGGAGTTTGCTAAGAAGGTGAGCACGAGGCTTAAAATGTAACATCACCATTAATATGGTTCCTTATTGTTATTTAGTAGCTAATTGTTAAGACAAATAAATAATGGGCCCAAATAGAGGAAAGTTGAGCACAACTTATAACTTAAATTGCTTTCTCTTTTTTCTTATGCTCTTTTTTTATAGAAAGTTGCTATTCTTTTTTTTTATTTAAGTAAATTGTCATGAATTCTTTAATAGAAACACAGAGAAGCCTTCATGAAGAAATTGAGTTGTTAGAGGACACTTTAGTTTCTTCCCTTTGTGAAGATTATACTAAAAAATCGGTTGTGGTTTATAATAATTTTTTTTATATTTCATAAAATTTCTTTCATTTCCTGGTAAAAATAAAAAGAGAAAAGAACAAATGTACCATGAACACATGTGTGCTGCTTTGATTAGAGACATGCAAGTAAAATCCAAAAAGCTTATTAGTATATATGAAGACAGGGACGGGTATTAATAATAATAATATTATTATAAAGTGTATTTTTTATATTATTCATATAAAGTTCAAGAGCAGCGGAGATACAAGCAATATCGAAGCCCAACGAATTTACAGAATTTTATAAGCGGTTTACTGAAGTTAAAAATGCTTATAAATTTGATCGGAACGTTATCGAGCCTCCAGTTTCTGTGGGTTATAAAGAAAATGATCCTCTTATTGTGAAAGGTGGAATATCATTATTAATAAATTATTTAAACGAGTATAAATAGAATATTTATTTTAATTATTTATAAGTTGTACATTTAGATCGTTAGACTATTTTTTTTAACTTTTTATTTATTAATATACTTTTTAAATTAAATTTGACAATTTAATACACAAATCTATTCTGTATTTTATGATATATATATATATTTAAAAATTGTAATTTTGGTTTTAGGATCTCATTTAACATCATTATTTCTAATTTTTAAAGCTGAAAGTAACTTAATAGTATTCTCTCTTTCTATATAATATTTATTACTATTTTTAATAACTATAAAAGTTTGTTTTTATGAATCATATCTTCTTTTCAACTTATAATATTGTTCAATATTAAAAATTTAAATTTTTTAATAAATATAACTTGTTTTTTTTTACATATTAATACTAAACTTTTGGTCTTTTTTATATAAATATTATATAATTAACCTAACTTTATTATTATTTCGTAGTTGTGGAAACTTTATACCTCTTATTAAATTATCTTTCTAAAATCTACTATGAATTATTAAATTTTTGATTTTTTTTAATTTTTTATACTTTTTTATTTTTTTGTTATACTTTTAATTTTTTAGTTTATTTATATATTTTTATATAAATTAACTTTTTTACTTAATTTATAAATTTTTACTATATGTTTTAGATGCTTTCTTAACTTTCCTTAATAAAACCTAAATTATTATTGTACTTATTAAATTTTTTTAGTGATTAATTTTTTTATTATATTTAAGTAATTATTTTTATTCTATTTATTTTTTTCAAGCGCTTTTCTCTTTTACTGATGAGGAAGGCTTTGGAAGATTTTTAGATTTACTAGAGCAGCACGTTTTGTTTGTTGACTTTTTAAAAAAGCGCAAGCTTGTAGAAACTTCTGTACCAGCAAAAATAGTGAAACGGAAGAATCCGCTTGAAGAGTCGCTAGAGTACTTGTCTTATTTGAGTCATTTCGATGACTTCAAGTGTATTCCACTCGAGTTGAAGCGAAGCGACGATTATAAAAAGTTTTTTTTAGTAAAAAAAAATTTCTTAATTTTTTTAACTTTTTTTTTTAATTTTTATTATGAAATTAGTAATTTTTTTTAAAAAAAGAGCAATTTTTAAAATAAAATGTAATCAATAAGAGGTTATTATTAAGAAATAATTAAGAAAAAATTGTAATTTGGAAAAGTTATTAGTAATAATTTTATTAAACTATCCAAGTCTTTATTATTTTTTTAAGTATATTCTACTCGAGTTTAAGCGAAGCGACGACTATAGAAAGTTTATTTTATAACTAATTTTTTTATAATTTTTTAATAAATAAAATGAATTAAAGAATAAATTACATGGTACTATATATAAATTTTTTATTTTAAAATTAGTAACTTTTTTTTTTTGGTTAAAAGAAGAGTATATATAATTTTTTTTTATGAAATTTATATTTTCATTTATAACTACTATATTTTTTATTATACAAATATTAATAAAAATATAATTTTATTAAATAATTATATATCGCAGAAATATTTAAAAATGATAAATTTTATTGAAGTTGCTAGAGTCTTTATTATTTCTTTATAGGTATATATCACTCGAGTTTACGCATAGCGACGATTAGAAAAAGATTTATTTATTTTATATAAATTTAAATTTTAACCATTATTTATTATTTTATATATAAATTAATCTTATCAAATTTATTTTGTAGTAGTTATAAATTTTTTGTTATTGAATTAAATAATTTAATTTATATGAATTTAGTTTATTTAAATATTTTTATTAAAAAATTATTTAGTATTTATTAATTAAATTGAATTTTATAAAGTGAAAATAAATTTATTCATAAGATAAATATTTTGTAGAATTTATATTTTTTTTGTATCCAATGAGCATTCCTTTTTTTTAAAAAAATACAATTAAAAAATTTACTTAAAAAATATTTACAAAGTGTATAATCTATATTAAAAAGAATCTTTATAATAATAGTGTACATATTAAAAAAAACTTAGGAAATTGTTAAGGTTATTACTTATGTAAATTTCTAATTTTAAATAAAATTATAATCAATTTTTTAAATTTTTTATTAATAAGAGCGTCATTATGAATATAATAAAAAGCTTATATTAAACCCCGTTTTTATGTATATATAATATTTAACTATAAAAATTATTATATATTAAGAAATAAGTTGTTGAATTTACTTAATTAAAATTTTAGTACAAAATCTTAAAAAATGTTATCCTTATTATTTATTACATTTTGATATTTATTATTTTTTATTAAGCAAATTTAATAATAATAATTGATAACCAAACTTTCATTGATCTTAAGTCGATATATTTAAATTGTTGAATTAAAAACTTATTAAACAAACTTTAATAAAATTAAATTATGAAATATGTAAACAAATGCAATATGTTTTTATACTTACAATTAGAGAAGATAAACTTTATTATAATATAAAATAAACTTTTAATTTATAATAAAAGTTTATAAATAAAAAAATGAAAAACAAGCTTAGTCATTTGAATAATTATACTTTTTTTTGTTATTTAAGCCAAATTATTGTGTATAATTTTTAAATTAAAAAGAAAATAAAAAAAATTCCTTTTTTTTAAATTTTTTTTTGATTTCATTATATTAAAAAAAGTATTAGCTATTTTTATATTAGTTTATAAAATATTAATTTCTATATAATTTCACTACTTTTTACTATTATTTATTTCTCATTACAGTTACTTAAAGTCTTTGAAAACTTATTTATACGAATATTATCAGCGCACACATCCCTTGGAAGTTTTTGAGGTTGAAATAATAGTAATATTTATAATAATAAGAAAGTTAAATACACCAGTTGTATGTTAATAAATTTATTTGCAAGTATATATATGTATAATAATCATATTGGATATGCGGTTAAATAATAATTAAAAGTATTTAAGCATAAGTAGACAGAACTAAAATATAAATTCTAAAAATTACGAACTTAATAATTAACATTAATGAATCAGTATTTTATTGTTATAAAATATAATTCAAAGTAAAAAAACTACAGTAAACTTATAAAGAAAAGTATAGAAATTAATTTCTATTATTAAAAGTATTGTAAAGTTTAAGGAGGATTTAAATAATAATATTATGCATTGCAAACTTTATTAATAATTTTTATAAATTATTATTGATATTATTGTTATTAAAAAAATTTTTTTACAAATAAAATAAATCATAAAATTTTTACAGGAAAAGTATAAAACAATAAAATTTTTGGATTAATGGTATCTAATAAATTAAAAAGTTAATTATACTTATTGTTATTACTAATATTAATATTAATAGGCGATAGAAGAAGAATTAAACCAGCAGTTTGAGGCATTTTGGGCAGAAGGGGCGTTGCCAGGATGGGAAGTGCAAGACCAGAAAGAGTTACCCTCTAAACTATTTTGTGTTCCTTGTAAGGTTTTTTTAGGATTGGCCACTTTTTTGTTATTATTTATTGTTTGGAGGAAGAAATCTGGTTTGATTAATTACTTTCTGTTTTTTTTCAGGCTGTAAACAATTTGCAAAGGAAACTGTTTATCAAGCGCATCTCTTTGGCAAAAAACACAAAAAAGCACAAGAACTTTTTTCACGGGAAAAGGGGTCTCACATTGATGTTGGGTACGTTCGCTTGCTTTTATTTATATATTATTTCACTTATCTTTTTTTTATTAGTGCTCTCAAGCTTAATAACGTACATTTACTTCGAGATAAAGATAAGCATATTGCTGAAATGGTTATATTTATTCTTATTTGTTTGGTATTACTTTATTCTAAGTGATGTTACTTTTTCTTTGTAGGAGTTTAGCGTACAGTTCTTGGCTAATAAACTTTCTGAGCAAAGAGAAGGTTGCTTATTACATGATATAATAATAATTCCAGTAATGATTATAGTTTCAATAATATAATTAATAATAATAAATATAATAAAACAGCCACCAAAATGAACGTGGAACGGAAGCAAGCCAGAACCGCTTCCGAGTGGGCCGAGGAAAGCGAAGATTCTGATCTCAGTGAAGAAGAGGTTGAAGTGGAGGATGACTATCAAGCTGCTCTTTATAACCCGAAAAATCTTCCACTTGATTGGGTAGGATTTATAATACATTAACGCCATTGGTCCATATTGAGGTTACTTTGGTAATTATTGGTGTAATGATCTAGTTAACAAGTTATTGATCCTTTTTAAATTTTTTTGGTAGTTGCAAATTTTGAGGGTAGCTGTTGTTGAAAGTTTGATGGCATTAAAGTTGCGTCTATTTTCTTATATGCTGAACCATTTTTTTAATGTCCAACAAATTTTTATGGTGTAGTGTTTACTGGTCCAGTTTTTTACATTATTAAATTATTTGGTAGGTTTTTCTATTTTATGATTTATGTCGCATTCTTTTTAACTTTCATTTGGCGTTAAATAAACCTCAAAATAATTTTATTGTCCTATTTATTATATTTTGGCGGTATTTGACTTCTTACCCTCGCCTTTATTAACTTGCATTTAATATATTGAATTAAGCATCACTTCTAGCTGTTTATATTATTCTGCGGCAGAAAACTTGAACATAAATTTTGTATTTCACTTTTTTTTAGCCAACGCTGCTTTATTCCTGTTATTATATTAAACTATTTGACAGCGTTTGTAACTTTTATATTATTTTTTGTGCTTAATTGTTTATACTCAAATTTTTTGCTCTGTATAGGACGGAAAGCGTATTCCCTATTGGTTGTACAAACTGCATGGCTTGAGTAAATATTACAGTTGCGAAATTTGCGATGGGGCGCAGTATCGTGGGCCAAAAGCTTTTGCAAGACATTTTCAAGTATCTTCCTTTTTATAATAGTAAATATATTTTGAATAATTTGTATAATAACAGTCACTTCACTTTTAGAAAAATATTAAAAAAATTTTTTTTGTTATGGTTAAAGTAATTGCTATAATAATAGCACTTCACTTTTTAAATGTGCAAAATTCTTTTTTTTTTTGTTTTTTTAAGGTTAAAAAGTGGTTATTTTCGAACTGATAACTTTTTGAATGATTAAATAAATAATATAAATGCGCTTCTATAAACTTTTTTAATTGGTTACATCTGTATTTTTACTATTTTTACAAGTATTTTATTGTAATAAGCCAACAGTAAACTTTTTTGAAGTTTTTTTTTCAACTTTATTGTTACTTCTATCTTGTATATATTATTATTGCAATATTTATAAATGGTTTTATTATTAGTGCTGATTATCTAATAGGAAGCCAAGCACGCTCAAGGAATGAAGTTGTTGGGCATTCCGAACACCATCCATTTTCAAAATGTTACTAATAAAGAAGAAGCTAAAAAATGTCCCCTTTTTATATTAATTTTATTTGGCGCTATTTTTTAATCCTTAAAATTAGTACTATGGTTTTTTTGGATAATGGCGCGTTATAGATTGTATAACGATTTAGTGCGCTAATTTTTAGAGTCTTCTTTGGTTATATATTCATTCTTTACTTTTAATGTATTTATATTTTTTTTCCCAGAGTTATCGTATAGTTCATTATAATTTTTTTTGTAACAGTATTTTTAAATTTATTTTTTATCTACTTTTTTCAATCGCTTAATTTGTTGAGTGAATTTTTATTAAAAAAATTAGCGCACTTTTTAATTGAATTTATACACAAAAAAACTGGCGAGGATGTTACATATTTATATAACTTATAATTTATTTAATATTACTATTTTTATAGTACTAACTTTTTATCTTTTAATAATAATAATAATTTTTTTAGTATGGGAAAAGCTAAAATTGGACAAACAGAAACTAATGTTTAAGCCCGATCAAGAGGAAGAGTATGAAGATTCTTTAGGAAATGTCGTTTCCAAGCGTATTTATGAAGATTTAAAAAATAATAATCTTTTATAATTGGCGGAAGTTATAATTTATATACATAGAAAATAAAAGTTAACAATATTATAACAAATAAACTAAAATAAATAATAATAATAAAAAGTTAAATAACAATGTTTTTGTTAAGACGTATAACACCGTTTTGAGTAACAAAACTACTTCTGTTGTTTTAGAAATTGTTTAAACTGCTTACAAATTTTTAAAAAATTTATTAAAAATTTTGCTTTAAAAATTAAAATTTGCTTAGGGAAGGTTAAGACTATTTACGATATTTTGTTTAGTATGTAATATCCAGAACTACTTTTCATTATATCTACAAGTTGACCTATTCTTATAGAGATTACCTTTATATTTTTAGAATTTTTTTTCCTTTTGTTACTTACAAAAACGCTTCATAGTAACTTTTTTTGTGCGCTTAAAAAAAATTATTGCAGGTGGACACGGCCTTAATCATCTGCGCCGCTATTTGCTAATTTGAAGCGGTAGAAGTTTTTATATTCTTACTGAAAGTCAAAAATTTGCTACTATTTTTAACTTATTTATGCTGGGAGCTCTCTTTACTTAGTGCTATACACGAATGTGTGAGCGCGTTTTTTCCCTATAGTGGTAAAAGTCCGTTTAAAAGGGGTAGTTTAAGTTTTTTTTACTATGAATCTTAGTACAAAATACTTTTATTTTACCACACATCCAAAAGTGCGGCACTCCTTCCCATGGTAATGAGAGATTACTATAAATAAATTGATTTAACGTTTTTTACTGTAAAAATACATTTTTTTATACACGTATACAACTGCATACAGCGCTAATTATTAATTTGTACAGTGTTTAAAATTATAAGAAAACTTCGGTTAATATTTAAAAGCTACCTTACCGAAAAACGTTGGCTTACTAGTACTTTACAACTACTTTTATTAATCCTGTTCAAATTTATTTATTGGAATTAGAAGGTTTTTAGCTAAAACTAAGAAAGTGTAATATTTTCTTATTACTCGAAAGCTACATAATAAGTCTAAGGGAGCGCCTCGTAATTTTTGATTCTTACTAAAATAATATTAAAAATATACTTTTAACATATTAATAGTAAATTTACTAATTTAAAGGAAGTTTCTCTAAAGTAAACACTTGCCATAAACATTTTTCTTTACATTAAAAATACTTGTTTTATAAGACTGAGGTAGAATTTCACTTGAGCTACCTTTGGGAGCTCACCTGGTTAGCTTTTTATTTTTTATAATACTATGCACTTCATTAGCTCATTGTTCTACAGAATATTAAAATACGTAGATTATTTTGTAAAGGAAACAATTTTTGTAAATAAAATCATAATAAAACCAAAAGTACTTTAAAATGTAAACTACATTTGTAAAGAACCAAACACTACACTTTTCAGTGCCTTAATACATTGCTTATTTTATTTTTCAGTTTGTGTTATTTAAGTACTTTAATTATAATTAGTTTTTACCTTAAAGTGCGTAATTAAAAAGTATGGCACCTTTTGATTTTAAACCATGTCCGCTTTCTAAGTAATTAATTTAATACACAATATTTTCTTCGGTAGGTTGAGTACAAGTCCGTATCTTTAAATTGATCCTTTAACGAAAGTGCTGTTCAAAAGTAGATCTCTTCTCAAAACTTTGAGTCTCAAATGTTTAGATCGCAGTGTAGTAATAACTTAGCTAAATTAAAGTACGATTAAGGTATAACTTTTAACAGGCGAATTTGACTTAGCCTAAAATCACTTAATACTGGCTGAAGCGTAATATTACCAAGTCTTAGACATACTAGTTAGAGCTAGCGTAAAAAGCTTTGATACCAGTCTCACGTAAACCTGGGCGAAGGTCAAGGTAGCGGATCCTTTACTCATTAGACAACGAGCCACGCCTGTATGTGCTGTGTTTCCAGTTAACGGCTTGCCTAAGATAATTGACTTGTTCCCACCATATGTTTTGGACCTACAGTAGGGCAACCCTTACCGCAATTCCAGGGGGTTGCTTTCAAATTAGCTGACCGCTTTTTATGTAACACTTTATAATGGGGCCGACGAGAAGAGACGGGGGACTGCCAGAAGCTGGACCTTAAAAACAGACAGATTTCGAATTTGCTCGATCGGCAACTTGAGGAAGCTACGGCGGATCGGTTTAGTATACAACAGCCTCATCAGACAGTCGTCTCACTAAAGAACTATTAGGGGACTCGATTGGTCGCGTCTACTGCATGATAATACGAGTATCCAAGAGCAAAAAAAGAGCTGTTTATAAATTTATTACTAAACTGGATTATATAAGACGAAGCTTTAAATGAATTTTATTTTGCCGTTCTGACGGATATTAAAACTAGCAGTAAGCGAACATAAATGTTGTATTAGTGAAAAAAATTGTGTAAAGCTCAGATCCAAGTTAATTAGCTTCCTTCGGCAACTCCCTGCCAATTTATAGATCATAAACTTTTATAGGACCCATTTCCTCGTTTTTAAAAGTTCCTTACGAGTACTAGCTGATCTTCAAATTACTTAAGTTAATCTTTTTTGCAAGTAAGTATTTATATGTTGGCTTCACGCTTTTTTTTGTTACACTATTATAAGTTTCGAGTTAACTTCAGCCTTTGTTTACTTTTCTTAAACGTATTAATATTTTAGAAGACAAATTTTTAAAATAATAAAAATTTCAATAGAGAAGACAATAAATAGTTTGTGTCTCTTTCCTTTTCTTCTAACTCAAGGTGAATACAAAGCTTTATTTTTCGAAGACCACTCGTTTAAGGAATTTTTTTTTAAAAAAAATAGAAAAAATATTTGTTTACGTCCGTAGAGTTAGAGTTTTACCACATTATTAATTTTAAAATCTTAAGCCTTTAAAGTTGGTAATTAAGTTTACCACTACAGAAGTAAGTTCTGTTCTTAAAGTTAAGTCAGTGGCATCTTTCCAATTTTTAAAAAAGAGTGGTAAAGGGAAAAAGTAGGTGTTACGCAACAAGTTTTAAACATTTTTAAGCTCTCCTTTAATCTTTTTTTATTTGGAGTTACAAAAAAAAAACATCCTTAATTCAACTACTTGGAATATGAATGCTAACTATTTTGAAATTAGGAAGTAAATCTTAAATTTTTTTTAAAATAGAAGCATTGGGGTCCTAACTTTTTTAGCTATTTATAATTAATAGTCGCTTAAGTTATACTGACGTTTTTGGTGTCTTTCTGTTCACTAACCCCCAAAAATACGCCAGATTATGACATAGAAGATGAGAGGCCACTCACGTAATCTGTTAAGAGTTCGTATAATATACTTCAAAAAACAATTTTCCTGTGACGGCGTCTAAAGTTAAGAAACAAGGGGATTCAATAATTCTAGAATATAGAGCTAGTTATAGGCAGAGATGCTAGCACATACTTGTAGACTTTATAAACTTTTCTAGCATAGGAAATAAAAGTAACCACTTGATATATTTTAAGTAATAGAATACTTTATATATAAGCTAATATTATATTAGAATACAGAAAATATTAATAAACCTTGAGGGCTTCAACGTTACTTAAAAAGTCAGAACAATGTTTGTAACACTTTAAAAGTGCTCTCGTTTTAACTTAATGCAACTTTCTTTTGTTAAACTGTTATTTTCGTGCACCAAAACTATCTATTCTAGTAGCCGAAGTATACTAAAGATTATTAAGTACATAAACTATAGATTATAATTTATTGATTTCATTAGCCCAGCGATGCTACTCAACGCCAAAAGCGGGTCAGCTCACAACCATGCGATAAAGGAAAAGTTCTCCCGAGCTGCATCACGGGTTAACTTTTATACATCGTAATTTTACAACTCACTAAGTTACATGCACTTACCAACTACAAGACTACCAAGGAACCTGAATAAAAATAATGTTAATAATAACCAGTGCATTTTTAACTGTGTATAAAGAATTTTCAAAATTTCGATTTATACTTTACTTAGGATTATTATAATTATTATGGCCAATTAAAAAATTTATTAGCTACTCCGGTTCTAGAAGTATATTTGAAAGTCTATCGTATTTAGTGTATATGAAGGACCTCAAATCGTTTCTAATAAAATTTAACAGCTTATGTATTGGTTCCTGATGTTATGAACTTAATATTTATGAAGGGCATGTAAATAAAAACTTGGGTCACTTTGGCGGTGGAATGTTTGATAGTTACTCAAATTTTAAAAGTGAATAAAAGAAATTAAATTATTTATTTCAAAATAAGTAACAGTAATAATTAAGTGCTTTTAACCTTCCATATTCCTGTAAGGCTTTGGCCATTGCATAAGTGGCATTAAAGTATTTTAAATCCTTTCTACTTGCCTGCCTGAAGAGTATAAAATTAAACAACTGTTTCTTTATCATTTGGTAAGTTGGTAATATGCAGTAACGTAGGTAATAAACTTAACGTTTACTGATATTAAGGAAGGAGCTACTTAAATTTTAAGCGAATAAAAACCACAAAAAACTGGTTGTTTTTGGCGGTGATGATCTTATAATAGAGCAATTTTAACAAAATTTTTTATTATTTTTTCCTTTTTATTAAGTATCCTGGCGCAGAAAGAACTATATTAGCTTCATTGCTTTTAGTACAGAAGCAAAATTGCTGGCACGTTCTTGTCCGGCGTGAAGTGGACCTGTACCACAAGCGGGAGGGTTATGGCAGCCTTAAGTTATCACTAGTTAATTGTCTGTTATTAAGGTTAAAGTTTATAGTAAGCATACCCCTGTTTACTATTCCTGACACCCCATTTATAAATCCTGTGTCGCTGGTTCTTAGTCCATTGTCAACCCATTTTTTGAGTTCATTTTTGTAATTCCAACCGCCTTTGATCTTAAGAAATGAAAATATTTAGTAAGCAAATAAGTATGTACCACTGTCGTAGTTTTCAACAGCATTCATATAAAAAAAAAATCCTGCAGTCCATTTAATTCTTGGATCCGAGGTTGGATCACAAATGGCGCCAGGATTTTTACAAAAGTCGTAATTCGGAAACTATATAAAGAATCGTTAACGTAG